TGTATATACTCGAAGTATCGAATTACGCCGTATCTTTATTCCTGATAGATGATGTCACTCTTTAAAAGATATTAAACATATTCAAGATGCATTAATTGATATGTTATTTTGCGTTGAAGATCGAATATCGTGATCCGTTGAAATGAATAAAATAAAAGTGGAGAGAAGAGAGGGGGGTTAACGAACGGGTTCAATGAACAATTTGTAATATAAATAAATTTGTGTAATTCGTATTTTTAATTTCCGTAAAATTGAAATAACGTGATTAATTATCATTATTAGGTAGATGACGAGAAAATAGATTTTGTGGTCGCAACGTACGCAATTTCAAAGAAGTACATTTGACAAATATAAATCATGATAAAGCCTGTTCTTCTGATACAACTTTTTTACGCTTCCTCTGTTAAGCAAATGTTAAGCTAGAGATAACCAATAAAAACAGAAGTTACGTGGAATATATTCCAGTCTCTTCTAAAATTACTCTACGACTCTGTCCACGAAATTCGACCGATTTATTTATTATTCACGAATTTCAAAAAAATTCGAGTCAATTTTATTTCAAAAGTCGAGTCAATTTCATCGTTCAAAAAGAGAGGAGGGAGAGGGGGAAAAAAAAGAAGAAATTATTTTAAAAATATATTAAAAATTATTCGAACTATTTTCCCAATTGTCAATCAAAAGATCATATTTTTCGTGACGTAGAAAACGTAGAAAGCGAGACAGGTGATGGTGAAGCAAGTGATACGACTTCGCTTAGAGTAGAATTGATTTTTATTGTGACTAGATTACAAACGGGGCCTTTCGGCGCTCAATATCGCCCAGTAGGAACGTTTACACGTAGTGAGTGAAACGGCTGAGAAGAACGGAATGAGAAACATTCTTCCGCGGGCATTTGCAAATCACTCACCGCGGGAACTGGGATATGTGATTACGACGAACATTTGTACGACATTGGGATTCATACAAAATAGCGGTCGTTTCTTAAATCTAGCTTACGTCACTATTTGTTCTATAGCGTTTATGCCTGCATCATGACTTTCGAAGTTGATCGATTCACTTCGTCTCCCCTCCCTTCTTCCTTCCCCTCCCCCTCCCCATTTCCATTAAATTTTACATCTATTAACTTGGTGATATGCCATTTTCAATTCTACAACGTATGATTTACATTTTGTTTTTCTTTTTTTTTTTTTTTTTGGTTTTTTTTTTCGTTTTATATTTTGTTTTAAAAAACACGACACCCTGTCCAAATTCCATTTTCGTCGAACAATTTTTCGTATAATTTAACAATTTTTATATTATGCAGTAATCGATGAAAAATAACGACACGCAATTCCGTCATGCGCAGTTGTAGACGTGATCGAACTTAATGAAGTAATAAACGAAATGCGAAGAGGATGATGAATCGATGGACTCCAAAAGTTCAATTACACGTGCCCTGCAAGGATATCGAATACAGTTTTTTTTTTTTTTTTGTTTCTTTATAATTATTCAATATAATTATTAATAATATTTATAACGTACGCATAGTCGATAAAGTGATTTCTTTCCTCGTACACTGTACAAAGTACCACCGTATCTGCGAGTTACGCAGCAACAGTGGCCATTTTCATTTACATACAGCCTGTATGGTTTATATTTTTCTTTCGTTATTATTATTTATTTATTTATTTATTTATTTTTTTTTTGGTATTCTGTTGGGTAATGTTATTATTATCATCATTACAATATAACAATTCTAAAAGATATTTACGAACCGCGTAAAATCAGCGTCTACTATACATATATCTACAGGATTAGTGAGTACATCTCGATCCGCGCTGGATCTTTTTTTTTTTTTTTTTCCCTTTATTAGTCATCCCATTATCTTTCCCTTCTCGTTATTTCTCTAATTTGCGATTAAATTTATCCTTTTTTTTTTTTTTTTTTGCTTTTCTTCGTTTCTTCGAGTCTCTGAAAGACTTTCGTACGCAACGAAATTCGACGTTGCCTTCGTTTGAATTCTGTTTCGAAACGCACGATACATGGTTCCTCAACGAGGAACTAATCGTAAAGATAAACTTTTTAACGACAATACAAAGCTCGTTGCTTCGACAAATCATTACTTTTTAATAGTGACTTTTTCTTTTATCGAGAAAAACGATAATCAAAATCGGAAATATTGCACTTTGGCTCGAGTATTTGTCAAATACGTCGCATTTTCAACGAAAATGCGAGAAAAAAAAAAAGAGAGAAAAATAAAAGAATTCCTTGATTCTCAACCAATTTCTTAGGAAACGTGACAATCCCTTCTACGAGATCGTTCTCTGCGATTCCGTTCATTTTACGGATGAAACATGCACCTCGAAACATTAAATATTTTATATATATAATATATATATACCCATATATTCGATTCGATCGTTCGTGCATTTACAATCGTATGTACATCTCTTATCCCATTCACCTGTTTTGCACTGGGAAGAATACAGTTAAATCCTGCCATTAAATAACCATTAAACGTTCGATCTGTGAAAAATCAGCGAAGAACAACGTACGCGCGTAAAGTCACGTTACGAATGCCGTGAATCCTCGCAAAATCATCTCACAAGATTAAAAAACGAAAAAAAAAAAAAAAAGAAACGTTAAACGACAAAAGAAGAACGAACAAATATATATATATATATACATATATGTGATACACATGGATACGTGACAAAGAAGGGAAAAGGGAATAATACTTAACGAGCCTCGAAGGCCTCGAAGAGAAAATATCCAGGTAAAAGAGAATTACTCGCGAGGACAACGCTGGCATCTTGGCAACGCCCGGTGTTCTCAGTTCTCGTCTCGCGGCAGGGAGAGGGTTTGAGAGCCGGAAGCG